AAACACAGATTAAAATATAAAAGGATACTACTACACACCTATTAGAATTCCAAAATTAAAATAAAAACTAACAATACCAAGTGCTGACAAGGATGCAGAGCAACTGGAACTCTCATGAATTGCACAACATGGTACAGTCAGTTTGGGAAAAAAGTTTGGCAGTGTCTTGCAAAGGTAAGTAAGCATTTACCATACAACTCAACAATCCCACTTCCAAGGTCTTTAACCCCAAACAATCAATTTACACAAAAACTCACAATCGAGTGTTTGTAGTACTTTATTTACAAAAGCCCAAAACTCTAAACAACTCAATGTCCTACAACTGTGAATAGATAGATAAACTCTGGTACATCCAGACAATAAAAATAGTACTCAGCTATAACAACAAACTGCTGAAACACTCAAATACATGGGTGAATCTCAAATGCAATATGCTAAACGAAGGCAGCCAGTCTCAAAAGAGTACATAGAGTATGACTTCATTTTATGATACTCTGGGTTAAGTAAAACTATAGAAATAAAATGCAGATCAGTATTTGCCAAAAGTGAGGGAGCCAGAGGAAGGGTTGATTACAAAGCAGCAGCATGAGGGAATTTGGGGGAGGCGATAAGAATACTTTTATCTTGATTGTGCTGTTGGTTACATGACTCTCTGCACTTATCAAAACTCACCAAAAATGGTGAATTTCACAAAAAGTAAATTTAAAAAGTGAATAAGATGGAATAATGTTACCTGAACATGTAGAATATGAAATTCTATTATTTACAGCAAACATATAAAAACTGAATAAGTCCATAGAGAAGGACTAGAGGGTAGCTCAGACAAAGGAAATATTGATTTGAATAAGAAATAATACAATCGGCAACTTTTCTCTTAGACTTGCATATTTTAATAGTCTCTTACAATACAATTAAGTTTTAAAAGTTCATTAAAAAAGAAAAAATATAACAATTAAACAATTTTTATTTTTCTAAAAGTTTTGACTAAATATTGAGATTTTGTTTACGTCAAAAAAGCAAAAGGGATGTTTAGTCAGCCTCTTAAATAAGATATAATTCTAAAAATAATCATTGGAATAAAATACTATTTAGAATTCTGTAGTAACCTCCCTCCCCTAAAACTTTACTAAAAGTGTTTTAAAAAGTTTTGCACAGTGAGAAGGCAATAAGGCACTTATCTTGGCTTTAGAGAGAAAATCTCCACAGAAGCCTAGGCATGTTGGAGTTGGAGAAGGTAGTTTAATTCAAATACATGTTACATTTCAAGTTCTCTCAGGATATCTACATGGATCTGTTCAGTAATAATTATAACCATATGATAAGTATTATAAAGGAATATAAACAATGAGCATGTAGAATCTCAAGAATGAAAAGTTTAACTGTCTCTGCAGCCTCATGAAGGAGGGAACATGTGAACTGAGTCTTAGGAAATGAGTAGGAGTTGGCTGGGTGAAGTGGGGGACAGCATTCCTGGTGGACGCAACGCTACGTGCAAAAGCATGAAGGTGTGAGAGATCACGATACATTCAACGTAATGCAATATTCAACTGAAAATTTGGTTGAGAGATTAGAAAAGAATTCAGGCTTGGAAACACAGACACAGAAATTTATTAAGTGAATAAATTTAATTTATCAACATAAAAAAATAATCATTCAAAGGAGATTTCACCAATAAGATGGTCTTCCACACGGACACCAAGTAAAACGTTAACGCAAAATTTGAATAAACTGCAATTTACTATAGCATATCTTAGAATTTTGAGAAAGGAATACAGGGGAAAAAAAGTAGAGTACCTTAAGGTGTCTTGCAACTTCTGGATTAAACAGAGGTGTTTTAATGTATTGAAAAAAGAGTGTTGCAATTCTTTTTCTGAGTCCTTCAAGGTTATGATGTTTGACTCCTCTCATCATAAGGTCAACCTCTCTGTCAATCAATTGTAAAATTTCCTGAGTCAGTTTACATTCATGTTCCTATACAAAATACAAAAATATTCAGTATAGAATTTTAAAAATTACTTAGTTTTTTTTTTTTTTTTTTTT